GTTTACATGAAAAACATTAAACATTTGCCATATTACTTTCTGTTTTTCAAAAACATCCTATGCTGTTCTTTCCCCTTTCATTTGCTCAGCTATTTATTTTCACTGGTAGAACTGTCCTTGTGTCCCAGTCATTGTCCCTTGCTTTTGAAAACGTAGCCATCCTTCACAATTATTACGAAAACTGTGTGTGTGTATGTATGAGAGAGAGAGAGAGAGAGAGAGAGAGAGAGAGAGAGAGAGAGAGAGAGAGAGAGAGAACGAACAGATAGACACAGACCTTTCTTGATGGCTGAAATTTCTCATCCACCCCAACGTGGATGCAATTTTCCTGCTCTTTTGAATTCCTTTAGCATTTTGTTTCTTCTGCTTTTATGGGGCTTTTCATATTCTGCTCTATGGTTATTCATGAGTTAATCTCTCTGTTCCTACCATGCATTTGAACACGTATTATTTGAACATAAACAGGCTTTAAAGTTTGAGGGTGTATTTTACTCATGTTGTATCAACTGCTCAACACAATTCTCTTACATGCAAACTTTTTTTAAGTGAAATGAAATGTTCAAATCTTTTTTTGAAATGAATTTATCAGTAAACCAAGTGTGACTCCAGAAAACCTTTGGAAAAGAATGATTTTAAGATGATAAGCAAAACAGGGTAGAGGCCAACTGGTGTGCCTGAAAGAGCACTGGGTGTTCAGTTTATGCTGTACAATTCATTTGCTTCTCTTTAAGATTAGAGATCAGAAAATATCAGTGGTTTGAATACTCAGCTGAACAGGACGTTCTAAGGAGTCCCATCAGGGGCTATTACAGCCTCCTCTACTTGAGCAGCTCTGCTTTTTATTTTATCTATATTTGTATTTTCTCATCCATGTAAATTTTATTCAAATGGATGATCCATGACTCCCTCACCATGACCAGAAAAAAAATTAAAAACTTTGAAACTAAATGATCTCTCTGGTCTCCCCTCACTTGAATGTCGTTTGAGCATTGCCTAGTGTGTGCATTTAGTATGTCTCTGTACTAAGCACTGAAAGTATGTAGAAGGTATTTCCCTTCCTCCAAGACTTAACAATGAATACATATAATAGATTAAATGTATGCAACATCATGAATGACTAAAAAACATACAATGAAATTTACATCCAAATAAATGATGAGCTTTTTAAAAAAAATTTTTAGTTGTAGTTGGACACAATACCTTTATTTATTTATTTATTTTTATGTGGTGCTGAGGACTGAACCCAGGGCTTCACATGCACTAGGCAAGCACTCTACCACTGAGCCACAACCCCAGCCTCCCTGAACAATGAGCTTTTTTTAAAAAAAATTTTTTAGTTGTAACTGGACACAATAACTATTTCACTTATTTATTTTTATGTGGTGCTGAGGATCGAACCCAGGGCCTTGCACATGCTAGGTGAGTGCTCTACCACTGAGCCACAACCCCAGCCCAAATGATGAGCTTTTCAGAAATTGATTTCTACTTCTTTGTATGTCTTTGGCCCCAAGTATGACAATTTTTCATTTGAGGGTGGGTTAGTATTTAAGGAAATTTTAGATATTTGAAGACGTATTTTTTGTCTTCTAATATTGTCCCTGAGAATTTATATATCCAAACAAGTATTTTTAATTTTGCTATCTTTTATATTTCCAATAAGAAGTTATGTTTTAAAAATTAAGTATGTAAGTTAGCTCATTGTCTTATCTTTCAAGTTTTATGAAGGGGAATTACCAAATCTTTGTTATAAAAAAGAGGTATTTGGGTTTCACAGAGTTGAGGACTGCTAGTCTGTGCTGCATACTTAGGTGCCCTGTTTTATGGAAATGATAGTAATACAATGAAGTATCAGATTGAATGGTTGATAATATAGGAACCTAGAAAAGGGCAAGATTATTGTAGACTTGAGTAGTCACGGAATTTCCAGTGAAAGAGAGGACTGTATCAGGGGATCTTGTGTATATGAAGGCCAGAGGCACTATGATAGACACTTGACATATCCTATCTTGAATAAATGAATGACCAGACTTGTCAGATTGAGAAAGCAATTTCTAGGTGTTAAGTGTGTAATTGAATTTAAAGTTGGAAGGTGTTTTAGTCAGCTTTTTCACTGCTGTGACTAAGTGACCCAACCAGAATAATTGTAAAGGAGGATAAGTTTATTTGAGGGCTCATGGTTTCAGAGGTCCTAATCCATACAAGGCAGGCTCCAATATTTGGGGCTTGAGGTGAGGCTGAACATCATAGAGGAAGAGAGTGGCCGAGGAAAGTGGTTTATATGATGATGGGGGTGGGGGTGGGGCGGAGAGAGAGAGAGAGAGAGAGAGAGAGAGAGAGAGAGAGAGAGAGAGAGAGAGAGAGAGAGAGAGAGAGAGAGAGAGATTCCACTCTCCTGATTCCTGTTACAAAGTATGTACCCCATAGCCACACCCCCAATGAACCACTTCCTCCAGCCACACCCCACCTACCTTCAGTTACCATTCAGTTAATCCCATCAGGGATTCTACTCTCCTCCAACCTTAAATTGTCTCACACATGAGCTTTTGGGGTACACCTCACATGCAAACCATAACAGAAGGACTTTTCTGTCTAGGTCAGAAATTCTTAATTCAGGGTTGTTGTCACACATTCAGGTTCATGAATTGAAATCAGGGAACTTATCCGCTGGAATTGTCTATATAATCTGCAGATCCTTCTGTGGGGAACAGGATTCATAATTCTCACTGAATTCTCAAAGGGCCCATCTACTAAGAGGTTAAGGCTTACTGATCTAATTTGATCCTGAATCAAGATGATTTGCTCAAGTTTACACAGCCACTTGGTGTCAGAGATGAGGTCTGAAACCCAGTGACTTCTAGTTTCATGTTCACTTCACCACACTCAGCTGAAGGACATGAACAAAGGCATAGGCAGGATTAGGTTACCATTTTGTACTAATCAATGTAAAAACAACTAGCATGCAGTCAATTGAATTAAGACTAGTAGTCTGTTTGCATAAGTTGCAGAAGGATGTGCTTCAATTTGTCTTTGAAGTGAACTAATATTTTAATTTTCATAGTTGAACTATACCTTGCCACTCACCAAAATAGCTTTTTTACCCAAAGTCTGACTCCCTACAGGATAATATTATCCCTGAGAATGTTTTTGTCCTTCCTTTACAAAGGCATGGTTTTTCTTAACCTGCATTGGTCCCCGTTTTTTTGCCTAGTCAAATCAAAACTACTTTGCTTAATCTGTCATATCCTGTACTATCATAGTCTATTTAACCAACCTATACCCCATCCCCTAAAGTCTTCTTATTCCCACTTCATTTTTCGTCATGGGATTTCCTTATCTCAACCGCCCTTCATTCTTCCTCCATCTACAGATGCCTAACATAAGGTCTAGCTTAAATAAATATAATCCCTACAAAGACCCTTGTAGTTACTGTTGCCCATTTTGCATTTTTTTCAACTCCTTTTACTTTTACTGCACACCACAGCACTCTGTTACATATTACCTCAGTGCTCTTCAGTGGAAATTCTTCAGTGGTCACCTTGGGAGTTAGATTCCAGGAGGTCTGGAGGGAGACTCCCAGACATCTCTAATTCCTACTTTAGCCAAAGCAAATCCAGTTCATTATTAAATATGGGCAGTTTGTATATAAGTTTTCATTTGAACAAATGGTTTAGCTGTCCCTCTTCCCCCATCCTCCAGATTTTGAATAACACTGGATCTTAGGTGCTAATTGCCTCAAGTGTTAAAACACAATAGGTGAGGGACAGGATTTAATGCTGCTTCAGACTTGTACTACTACTCCCAAGCAACTGATGCAATTTTGATTACAACGTGGGTACTTGGGAAATAATTTTACAATTGCTCCCATTTTGGGAATAGGACATAGTGTTCAACATTATTTCAGAAATTTACCTTAATGAAGAACTCAGAATAATATTTCTGGGTTGTTCCTTAAGAAATTAACCTAAATTGTGCTCATCCTCTCTTTGGGACACAAAACCTAATCTAATCTAATTTAAAGCTGTCTTGTTCATATACACATATTTAGAGAAACCTCATTATTGGCATACTCTGCCCTCCCAAATTTTGGTCAAACTTAAATATTGTACTCATGTATTTGCACCAGCTTTAGTGTTACCCACCTGTTTTTGTTGACTTTTTCATTGCTGTGACCAAAAGACCTGCCAAGAACTATTTTGGAGGAAGAAACATTCATTTAGTGCTCATGGTTTCAGAGGCCTCAGTCCATACATATCCTACTTTCATCCTCAGGGTCCAGAGAGAGGCAGAACATCATGGCAGAAGAGTGTGGTGGAGGAAAGTGGCTCAGGGCATTGTAACAAGAAGCAGAGAGAGAGAGCTCTACTCGACAAGGACAAAATATAAATCCCAAAGTCATGCCCCTAGGGACGCACCTCCTCCAGCTACAGCCTACCTGCTTACAGTTACCACTAACTTAATCAACATCAGGAAATTAATGTGCTAATTAGGTTAAGGCTCTCATAACCTACTCATTTCACCTCTAAACATTCTTGCATTTTCTTACTCATGATTTTTAGGAAATACCTCAAATCTAAACCAGAATGCAATCTGACTTATAGAATGATGTGCAGAGTACCAGTACACCTAAAAACTCAGAAAACATTAAATTAAAGGGCTGGGGTTGTGGCTCAGTGGTAGAGTGCTTGCCTCGCATGCATGAGGCACTGGGTTCAATCCTCAGCACCACATAAAAAATAAATAAAATAAAGTTATAAAACTACATATTTAAAAAACATTAAATTAAGAATTTGGTGCACTGAAAAACATTTATTGTCTTTAATGACTGAAAAATGAAAAATGCCAATCTTTCAGACCAGTTATTTCAGCTCTCTGTATTAAGTCAATTATATAAACTAATAAAGACCTGAGTATTTAAATCAATTGTGCTATCAACTTGTTAATACTTTTATTTTGTTTTTTTTTTTCCTGCTTTCTGCCTGGTTCATTATCTTCACCTACAGGTGTACTTTTTTGTCGGCTTCCAAAGATTACTAACTTTTATCTGTATCACTAAAACTGAACTGCCTTGGCTCTACTGCTACTTTTATTGCTGCTTCCATTATTGCCTTCTTCAGCAAACTAAGGCTTTCAGAAGCCAAAGAATAACAAGAAATAAGCATCATTTTAGAAGCCTTTCCACTATGAAACTTAAACTAAATGTGCTCACCATTATTTTGCTGCCTGTCCACTTGTTAATAACAATATACAGTGCCCTTATATTTATTCCATGGTATTTTCTTACCAATGCCAAGAAGAAAAACGCTATGGCAAAGAGAATAAAAGCTAAACCTACTTCAGACAAACCTGGAAGTCCATATCGCTCTGTCACACACTTCGACTCACTAGCTGTCATAGACATCCCTGGAGCAGACACTCTGGATAAATTATTTGACCATGCTGTATCTAAGTTTGGGAAGAAGGATAGCCTTGGGATCAGGGAAATCCTAAGTGAAGAAAATGAAATGCAGCCAAATGGAAAAGTCTTCAAGAAGGTAAAGCATTTTTATTCTTTTAATTTTTTTAAGGAACTTCATTTTTCTTTATCATAAATTGAGGGAATTTTAAATATGCTGCCATTCTGTTACAGTACTGTATAAATATCAAAAGGCACTTTTCATGGCTTCTGGATATTTGCTTAAGGGCATTGTGCACTTTGAATGCTATTGTAATTACTTATTTGAATAAATATACTAATATTAGAGAATGTCTCACTTTAACAGTTAATTCTCGGGAATTATAAATGGATGAACTATATCGAAGTGAACCGTAGAGTGAATAACTTTGGTAGTGGACTTACTGCATTGGGACTGAAACCAAAGAACACCATTGCCATTTTCTGTGAGACCAGAGCTGAATGGATGATTGCAGCACAGACCTGCTTTAAGTACAACTTTCCTCGTAAGTGCCCTATGTTTTTTTTTTTTTTTTTTTTTGGTGTGGGGTGGGTGCTTTGCTTAAATGTGAAAATTGGTCCATAGGCTGGATATATAGCTAGCTCAGTGTTAGAGCACTTACTTAGAATGTCTGAAGCCCTAAGTTCAATCCCAGCACAATACACACACACACACACACACACAAAAACAATTGCTTTGAGATGCTCCTGTTTTCAAAGTAGGTCATCTGAACTGGTAGTGTAGCTCAGTGGTAAAGTGCTTAAAATCATGCTTAAGGCCCTGGGTTCAGTCCTCCAGCACTACAAAACAAATAAAAGTAAAAACAACCCGCCAAAAAACTTTGAAACAAAATAAATGCTCTTTAGCCTTTCTTTTGCATGAATTATGTCTATAAAATGGTATGTACTATTGTGACTAAAAGATGTCCAATAACTCCTGTCAAAGATAGTACCTTGTACAAGCTAGTATGAGAATTGGCATCTTAATGGGTATAATGTGGAATTTTACTTTTTGATTGGAAATGAATTATGCCTGAAAGGTTTAGGATTTGGGGGTTTTGGTTTTGTATATACAAAATGATTAAGGCAACAACAACAACAAAAAACATTGCTTAGGATAATTCTAGTTCATTGGTTGACTTAGATGCCTCTTATTTGACTTATTCCATTTTGCACATGAAATTGGTTTGTAACATCTTGAAAACTGGTATTAGAGATGTTAGATGGAAAGTAAAATTGGGTATGTTTCTGATATGTAAGCATTTTTTTTTGCCATTGTGCAAGAAATTTTTAATATTTGAGTCCAGAACAATGTCTTGCCACAAACCAAGCACTCCATTGTTTTTTGAGTGAAATAGAATATCCTAGGTTTAATGTAAGAATCAGAGTTTGTATATCAAACAAAAATAGATAATATGAAAATGATTCCATATGTACCCATAACCCAACTTCAATCATCAACAGTGAAAAGTGGCTATAATTAACTATGTTGATGTTTCTGTTACCAAGAGCTGAATTTCCATGTCAACTTTAGGTTTAAGTTTAGCAGATGTCCTTTGATTCCACCTAAACTTGTTTTAAGTTTATATTATCTTTGTGTAGTGGCTGCTAAGGAATAGAACTCCTTTGCCCCTTTAGGTAAGACATAGAAGTCACTAATCAGATTAGAAATTGGACCCACTGAAAAAGCTTCTTGGAAAGAGTGAGAACATTATTAGTGGCTAATCTTCTGACATGAGATTCCCAAGCTTTATCAAGAATGGATCTGTTTGGGGGAACCATGACCAATAAAAGTATGTGGCATAAGGGAGCTCTTGCTGGGATAGCCCTGACCTGAGTTAAGAGTTTGGCCAGGACCTGATGGCCTTGAACATTATAGTTGACTGATTTTTGATGAGTTATGACACTTCTAGTATTTCTGGGTTTGTTCGGGTTTAGAAAGTTAGAGTGGGTTGGGGGTAGAGTGCTTGCCTAGTATGCATGAGGCCCTGGGTTTTATCCCCAGCACTGCAAAAAAAAAATTTATCTATATATATGTATGTATGTGTATGTGTATATATATATATATATATATAAAAAATTCCTGTGAATTTGTAAGGATAACTTTGGGGTATTTGGGAGACTTTGAAATAAAATTAAACTACGAAATGCATTTATGTCTTTTAGTGTTCATATCATTAAGGACTGACTTAAATATTATCTTTCTAGTAAGTGTTTATTATTTAATATTTGTTTTTTTTAATTACATAGTTGTGACTTTATATGCCACACTTGGCAAAGAAGCAGTAGTTCATGGACTAAATGAATCCGAGGCTTCTTATCTGATTACTAGTGTTGAACTTCTGGAAAGCAAACTTAAGGTAAGTATGAAAGTTTCCTTTTGTAAACTTTATTTTTAATACATAAAAATACCAAAATTATTTATATTCATGGGGTATCATGTGATGGTTCAAAACACATATACATTATGCAGTGTTTAAATCAGTTTAAATTTACTGTTTCCTCAAACATTTCTTTATGGTGAAAACTTTCAATATACTTTTTTTTCTAATATACTTTGTTCTAGCTTTTTGAGACACATAAAGCATTATTGTTCTCTGTAGTCACCCTGCTATGGAATAACACACCAGAACTTCAGGCTCCTATCCAACTGTAACTTAGTGTCCATTGTTAAACCTCTTCCCATCCCCCCCCCCCACTTTTCCCTTTTATTATCCCTAGCCTCTGGCAAATACCATTATATTCTACTCCAAGATCAACTTTTTTGGAATCCACATGTGAGTGGGTTCATGCATTATTTATCTTTTTGTACCTGGCTCATTTCATTTGACATAACAATCTCCATTCTATCTATCTTATTGTGAAGAATAGAGTTTTCATTTTTATGGTTGCATAGCATTCCATTGTGTATGTGTATCACATTTTCTGTATTCATTCATCCACTGATGGACACTTAGGTTGTTCTATTTCTTGGCTATTATAAATAATGCTGCTATGACCATGGGAGTGCAGGTGTCTCTTTACCATAATGATTTCACTTTATGTGGACATATACTCAGTAGTAGATTGCCGAATAATATGGTAGTTCTGTTTGAGGAACCTCCATACTGTTTTCCATAATGGCTATACTAATTTATATTTCTATCAACAATGTACAAAGGCTCCCTTTTCTTCACATCCTTGCTAGCATGTGTCTTTAGTTTTTCTGATAATAACCATTCTAACTGATATCTCATTATGACTTTTATTTTCATTTCCCTAATTATTAGTGACGTTGAACATTTTTCATACACTTGTTGGCCATTGTATATCATCTGTTGAGAAGTGCCAATTTAGGTGTTTTGCTCGTTTTAAAATTTGGTTATTTGTTTTTATTCTCTTGAGTTTTTGGAATTCCTTGTGCATTCTGGATATTAAGCCCTTGTCACATAGTTTACATATATTTTCTTCTATCTTATAGATTGTTGTTTCACTCTGATGATTGTTTTCCTGCATGTAGATACCCATTTTCCCCAGCACCATCTCTTTTCTTTTTTTATTAGAGCACTATAATTATACATTAGTACTTGGGTTCACTTTGACAAAATCATACATGTAAAGAATTTGTTTTTAATCCCCGTCCCTCCTTTTTCTTCCTTCCTCCCTCCCCTATTCTCCTTCCTCAAATATACTAATCTTGTTTTTACTTCTTTATTTGTTGAGAGCCACAGCCGAAGGGGCCCCAGCAAACTTCCAGCTGCCAGCAAACTTCCAGCTGCCAGATATGGTTAGGTATCAATCCTCTAGGATTGACTCCAAGATTAACTTGTGGTAAAAAGGTCACACAATTTTGACATTGTTTTATTATTTGTCTAGCTTGTTCCTTAGTTATTTTAAAACGCTTTTGTAAAGTATTAGCATTGACATGGAACTTTTTATGAAAATTTATAGCTTCTTCTAGTGTAGAGAAAATATGTATGTCATGTGTAGTTTTATCTGCTAAATCGTTGCCCAAACTAAGGGCTCCAGGCAATCCTGTATGTGCCCTGATATGTCCTATAAAGAATGGATCTTTTCTGTCCCAGATTAGACTTTGTATAGTGGAAAGCAAAGAGAAAACAGTAGAGGAAGGGGAAATCCTACCAGCATCTTCAAGGGATACTATAGCATTAACTATATACTGACTATCGGAAAATAAATTAAATACAGAATCTTTAAACATCACAAAAGCTTGTAATACTGCATTAAGCTCTACCTTTTGAGCTGATTGTTTGGGTACTAAAAATGTAAAAGTTTGATCAGGTTAACTATTGCTGCTGTACCATTATTTGATCCATCAGTGAATATATTTGGAGCATTCATGATAGGGGTTTTTCTTGTCATCTTTGGAAAAACTACAGGATGCAATGACCAAAAAGACAATAAAGGATTAGATGGTAAGTGGTTATCAAATGAAACATTAGATTTGCACATGATTATTGCCCAAGTATTTAACTCATTAGCTAACTCATCAATTTGATTCATAGTATATGGAGTAATAATTTTATTGGGAGAAATTCCAAACACTCCCTTTGCTGCTTTTATTCCTTTGAGTATTAATTGTCCTACAGCCTCAGGATACCTAGTAAGAATAGTGTTAGGAGAATAAGATAAATGTATCCATAATAATGGACCTTCTTGCCAAAATACTCCTGTAGGAATATTTTTTGTTGGTAGTACAATAAATAATAAAGGCAAACTTATATCAATTCTATCCAAATGCATATTTTCCATATATGTTTCAATGATTTTTAATGCCTTTCTTGCTTCAGGCGTTAACATTCGGGGTGAATTTGGATCTGATGGACCTTTTAGGATATCAAATAAAGGTCCCAACTCTCCTGTTGGTATACCTAAATAAGGCCTTATCCAATTTATGTCTCCCAATAACTTTTGAAAGTCATTAAGTGATTTGAGTTGATCTACTTGTATTTGAATTTTTGGTGGACGGACCATGGTTGAGGATAATAGAACTCCTAAATAATTAATTGGAAAATTTAATTGTACTTTATCTAATGCTGTCTCTAGATTATAATTTTTTAATAAGTTTGTAAGTGTGGCATAACATTCTAGCACTGTGTTTTTATCTTTGTGCGCTAGTAATACATCATCCATATAGTGAAATATTTGTAGTTCAGGATTTTGATTTCTAAGTGGCTGGATTACTTTGTTAACATAAATTTGACACATAGTTGGGCTGTTAGCCATCCCTTGAGGGAGTACTTTCCATTCATATCTCTGATCAGGACCTTCATGATTCAGTGCAGGGATAGTAAATGCAAAACGTGGACTATCCTCAGGGTGAATTGGAATTGAAAAAACACAATCTTTAATATCTATAACTAAAACATACCAGGTTTTTGGCAAAGCAGACAATTGAGGAATCCCCGATTGAGCAGGTCCCATAATAACCATTTCATTATTAATGGCTCTTAAATCTTGCAGTAATCTCCATTTACCAGATTTCTTTTTGATGACAAAAATGGGAGTATTATGGGGAGATACAGAAGGTTGTATATGTCCTTCCACTAATTGTTGTTTGACCAAGTCATGGGCTGCTTGTGTCTTTTCTTTAGTCAGGGGCCACTGAGGAACCCATACTGGTCTTTTTGATTTCCAAGTAATTTTTATTGTCTCAGTGGCCCTTTCTGAAAATCTCACCCATGTCTGTCTGTTCCTTGATCTATTTGTATTGGTGCTGCTATACCTTGTTCTTGTTTTTCTAATCTTTTTCCTTTCCTAAAATCTTGTCTAGCCATAATAGTGGGTGCATTTTGGTTGATGTTATTTGTTAATGTCAAACCTAATTGATCTAGGACATCTCATCCCCATAAATTTACGGGAAGATGATCCAATACATATGGCTGTATAGTTCCTGCACATCCTTCAGGATCCTTCCAATCTAATACCATTGCACTTCTATGGGGATTAGTCGCCACTCCTAGGCCTCGAAGCATTTGAGTGGCTTGTTGTAATGGCCAATGTTTTGGCCATTCTTGACGAGAGATGATGCTAAGGTCTGCGCCTGTATCCAGTATCCCATTAAATTCATGTCCTTGAATATTTAGTTTTAGCATGGGGCGAGAATCTAAATTTAAAGAAAGCATATCCCAATCAACACCTGTGGAGCCTAATCCCTTGGAACCTCTTTCTATAGCACGACTGGAAAATTTATCATGTAGGCTGGGTATCATTAGTAACTGTGCTATTCTATCTCCTGGTGAAATTACTGATATACCCTTTGGAGAACTGGCTATAATTTTTATTTCACCTTCATAATCGCGATCAATGACCCCAGGACTTATCATAAGTCCTTTTAGAGTAGAAGAGCTGCGTCCCAATAATAAGCCTACTGTTCCTTTGGGAAGAGGTCCTTTTACCCCTGTGGGAATGATTTGAACTCCCATCTCTGGAGTTAGTACTGCTCTGGCGGAGGCGCAGATGTCCAACCCTGCGCTCCCTCTGGTTTGTCTGATGAGGGATCTGATGGACAATGTGTCCTGGGCACTACCCTGATGGGGTTGCTGGGTTCCTCCAGTGCTCCATATATTTGTGGTTTTGGGCCCCGGAGCATTGGGCCCCCCTGTCCATTTTTTGGCAACGGAGCCCGATGCCTTTCTCCATGATATCGTGGATAAACACCTGGTCCTTGTTCGTTTTTTGATAATGGAGTACCCTCTATGGTGGTTTGAGAATGGCATTCATTAGCCCAATGTCTCCCTCTACGGCAGACCTCGGAGCTACTCATTGGGGGACTCTTTTTGGCTCCGCCCACGTGACCCAGCCAATCAGCCTCAAGAGCAGGAGGAGTGGGGGAGGTTGAGAGGCTTGTGGGAAGCCGGTGGTGGCAGTTGGGCTCTGAAGGTTTTCCTGAGGAGCTTTTTTGTTTGGCGTGTGTGGTTCTAAAAATAAAGTTCGTTTCTTTTGAGAAGTGGCTCCTGAATCGTGCCCAGCCAGACTGCGGCATTTATTAACTTATTTTTGATTGGTGCTTTTTACATATACATAAAGGTAAAATTCTCTTTTGTGTGTGTGTGTGTGTGTGTGTGTGTGTATAAACATGATTCTGTTAGATTCCATTCCATATTTCTTCCCCTTTCCCTTCCTTCCTCTCTCCCTCTCATTCTCCTAATTCACCAATCTTCCCTATATCCTTGCAATATCCCATCCCCTCTCCCACTGCCATCTTTCCCTTATTTTGCTCTATCTTCCACATATGAGAGAAAACATTTGACCTTTAGATTTTTCTGAGTTTGGCTTATTTCACTTAGCATGATGTTTTCCAGTTCTAGCATTTATTGCAAATGCCATTTTTTCATTCTTCTTTATGCTTGAGTAGAACTCTATTTTATATATATATATATATATACACACACACACACACACACACACACACACACACACACACATACACACACACACATCCTATATCCTTGCCAGTATTTGTTATTATTTGTTTTCTTGATAAAATTGACATTCTAACTTGAGTGAGAAGAAATCTTAGTGCAGTTTTGATCTTCATATCCTTTATTGATAGAGATGTCAAATGCTATTTCATATATTTGGTGGTTATTTATGTTTCCTCTTTTGATTTCTGTTTAGTTCTTTTACACATTTATTGATTTTTTTTCTTTTTGGTATTGAGTTTTTTGGGTTCTTTATATATTCTGGATATTAATCTGCTATCAGAGAAGTAGTTCCAGCACTGTTTCTTGAAAAGACTGTCCTATGTGCTCTTAGCACCTTTGTTGACAGTTGGCTCTAGGTGCTTGAGTTTACTTCTAGGCTCTCTATTTTATTCCATTGGTCTATGTGTCTGTTTTTATGTCAGTGTCATGCTGTTTGGATTACTATAGCTTTATAGGATACTTGAAAGTAGATAGTATGATGCTTCCGGCCTTTTTCTTTTTGCTCAAGATTGCTTTGGTTATTCAGAGTTTTTTCATTTTTCCATACAACATTTTCATAGGGATTGCATTGAATCTCTAGATCACTTTGGGTTGTGGACATTTAAAATTTTTTTTTTAGTTGTAGATAGACACAGTACCTTTTTTAAATTTTTATTTTTATGTGGTGATTAGGATCAAACCTACTGCTTCACACGTGTGAGGCAAGTGTTCTACCTCTGAGCTACAACCCCCAGCCCCAGTATGGACATTTTAACATTATTGATTCTTTCAATCCATGAACAAGGGATGTCTTACCATTTATTTGTGTCCTCTTCAATTTCTTTCACTAGTGTTTTATAATTTTTATTGTGGAGGTCTCTTACCTCCTTATTTAATTTTTGTATGTATTTAATTTATTTGGTAGCTATTTTAAATTAGTTTGCCTTCTTGATTTCATTTTGAGATAATTCACTACTGGTGCATAGAAATTCTGCTGATTTTTGTATGTTGATTTTGTTTCCTGCAATATTGCTGATTTCATTTATTAGCTCTATTTTTTTTTTTTTTTTTTTTTTTTTTTTTTTTTTGCTGATTGTGGAGTTTTGGGGGTTTCCTGTATATAAGGTCATGATAGTGACAATTTGACTTCTACTTTTCCAGTTTGGATGCCCTTTATTTTTTTCTTTTCTCTAGTTGCTCAGGATAGGGCTTCTAGCACTGTGTTGAGTAAAAATGATGAAAATGGGCATCCTTGTCTTGTTCCAGATTTTAGAAACCTTTCAGTTTTTCACTGTTCAGTATAATTTTAGCTGTTGGCTTATCATAAATGTTCTTTATTATATTGTTGTGTGTATATTATATGCCTAATTTGTTAAGCAGTTTTATTATGAAGGGATTTTGCATTTTATTGAATGCCTTTTCTGCATCTGTTGAGATGACATGTAGATTTTGTCTCATTTTTGTTGAAATGGGTGCACTATGTTTTGGTTTCCATATGTTGAAACACCTTTGCATCCCTGGGTTGAATCTCAGTTGATTCTCTAATGATCCTTCATATTTCTGTGGTGTCAGTTGTAGTATTTCCCTTTTCATTTTTGATTTTATTCATTTGAGTCTCCTTTTTTTCTTAGTCTATCTATGAGTTTGTCTATTTTTCTTATATTTTTGGAACAAACATCTCTTGGTTTTCTTGATATTTTATATTGTTTATTTAATGTCTATTTCATTTTATTTATGCTCTTACTTTTTAATTTCTTTCCTTGTACTAATTTAGGAATTGTTCTTATTTTTCTAGTTCTTTGAGATACAGTTATCACTTGATTATTTGAGCTCTTTCTGTTTTTTTAATATAGATATTAATTGCTATAAATTTCCCTCTTATTACTGCTTCTGCAATATCCCATAGATTTTAGTATACTATGTGTTAATTTTCATTTGTTTAAAGACATTTTCAGGGGATGGGGATGTGGCTCAAGTGGTAGCGCGCTCACCTGGCATGTGTGCGGCCTGGGTTCGATCCTCAGCACCACATACAAACAAAGATGTTGTGTCCACCGAAAACTAAAAAAAAAATATTAAAAAATTCTCTCTTTCTCTCTCTAAAAAAAGACATTTTCAATTTCCTTTTTGATCTCTTCCTTGATCAATTTTTGTTTAAAAACAAGTTGCTTACTTTTCATGTATTTTTAGATTTTTTTTCATGTATAGATTTTTCATACATTTATAGATTTTTGCTTTGTGGTTATGATGAAGCTTACAAAATTTCTTTTCTTTTCCACCAAACTATTTTAAAATGATATCAACTTAGCATTATTATAAAAAAGAAAAAGAGAATATATACTATAAGAAAACTCTACACTGCTACTTCTTTCTTTCCCACATTTTGAATTTTTGATATCTAATATTACATCTTTTTATATTGTCCATCTCTTAAGACATTAGTGTAATTATTTTTATATTAATTGTTTTGTTTTGTAGTTTCATCCTGAAGATAAAAGGGCTATGTACCATATTTAAAATATAAAAGCATTCTACTTTCTGTGTATATTTGCTCTCAATAGTGAAATTTTCTTTTAATTCACCACAGTCTTTATGGGTTGGACTGGAAAATGTTCGATTATTGAGTTTTTGTTGCAGGCCCAAATTCAATATCTGGGTTTTCTTTCTATTCAACAGACTGCACTGTTAGATATCAGTTCTGTTAAACACATAATTTATGTGGATAATAAGACTATCAATAAAGCAGAATACCCTGAAGGATTTGAGATTCACAGCATGCAGTCAGTAGAAGAGTTGGGATCCAAGCCAGAAAACTGTAAGTAAAGCAGTTAAAATAAATTCATTTTCTATTCAAGGTTTGTCATTTCATAGGTTAGGAAAAAAGTGACATGAGGGAAAACACTAAAGATTTTTTATTAAAAAATCTTTTTAATTATTTAAAAACTGTCAAAATATATATGATTAAGATTTTTTTCTCCCTTTTTCCTCAAGAGGGAACCATTGTTTAAAATTTGCTAAATAGTTGAGTTGTAATAGATGGTTAGACTTTTGGCAGTTTTTGCCAAACTGTTTTTTTTTTTTTTTTTTTTTTTGGTACCAGAGATTGAACCTAAGGGTGCTTAATCACTGAACTACATCCCCAGCTCTTTTATTTTTATATATGTATTTGAGACAGAGTCTTGCTAAATTGCTTAGGTCCTCGCTAAGTTGCTTAGGGCCTTACTAAGTTGCTGAGATTGCCTTTGAACTTGCAATCCTACTGCCTCAGTCTCTTGAGCTGCTGGGATTATAGGTTAATAATCCGGTAATTATAGGATCATGCCACAGCATCTGGAAAAACTTTCCTTTTTTAAAAAAGTAGCTTACAAAACTCTTCCATTTTGAACTCACAAAAAGAAAAGATCTTGGGCTTTTCATTCAATAGTTTTTAAAAAAATTCTTAATACTAGCTATCTTAATGATGTCTCAGAGGATCAAAGATGTTCACCAAGATTAATGCTTTGATTTATTCTGCCACTGAGGTGGTAGTTGGTATATCATTTAAAACTAGTAAATGTACCTTGTAGCAAATTGTCAGTCATTAGGAAAGAGAAAATTAATGCCCCATGAGAATAGTTTTCTTCTTGTGTTACATGTGAAGGTCATAATACTGAACTAGATGAGGACAGAATACATTTGGGAAGGAGAAAATATTGTTTGAACCTCTACTCTGTCTCAGAATAATTTACCATTAGAGAATTAACATATATTTACAATTACAGGTATAGATCATAGCTTACTTCCTTGTGTGGAAAATGACAGAATCTGTCTGAAATTTTATCCTACTTGCAAGTGAGCCTACCAAATTTCTTATAGACAGAAGACTTTTAGGTCAAGGATGAAGTTTTTTTCACCAACAACACTAGCAGTAGCTAGAGTATTATATTAGCTTTTGTATCATGGGAGAGGAACTCAGAGCTTAGGGAATCAAATGTTTTATTATCTTTATTGTACTGGACAGTAAGCACATGAGCTGTTTGCTCTCTTTAGAGAGACTATCTCTGTGCAAACATCCTTGAAAAAGTAGTTTGGAATAAAGTCTGTTCACAAATGTGCAGGAAACATGAGACCCATAACCATTATTTCTGAATATCAGGATGATCCTTCAAGATTGGGGTGCACTTGATTACGACAACCTGATTGGTAGTAATTAATCAGCAGATTACCAATTCCACTGATTAATTAAAGTATGTTGATAAAAAATTTAAGGGGATATTAGTCCTCATAGTTTTATTTGAGCAATAATGTGACAGGCCATCTATCTTACCTAGTTCTACTCTTCTCTAGGATACATATATTTTTGTGGTACTTTACCTGAGTAGACAGTTACTATTATGATGACACTTTTTTGAATGCTTATTCAAATTGGACATGCAGAAAGTGTCATGTTGTATGCTAAGATTGAGAGCTTAACATGTCTATTGCTGCTGCTTTAATTATTCATCAGAGGATATATACATTCTCTAATTTGCTTGGTTTATAAACAATGACAGTGGATATGTGTTTTGGTCAACTTTTTCATTGCTGTGACCAAAAGACCTTACAAGAACAGTTTATTTGGGATCATGATTTCAGAGGTCTCAGTTCATAGATGGCCCATAGTAAAGCAGGACATCAAGGTGGAAGAGTGTGGTGGAAGAAAGTGGCTCAGAACATCATACTAGTAAGCAGAGAGAGACTTCTCCTCTCACCAAGGACAAAGTATATACCCCAAATACAACCCCTCACAGACTCAGCTCCTTGAGCCACACACTACCTGCTTATAGTTACCATCCAGTTAATCTATTCAAATGGATTTATACACCAATTTTAAGGTTCTCATAACCTAATCATTCTACCTTTAAACTTTCTTACATTGTCTTACATGTGAGCATTTGGGGGATACCTAATATCTAAACCATAACAATATCTTTAAGAACATTAGATTGAGCCATTTTAAGTTAAACTGAGTGTTTCAATGGTCTATCTTGCTTTTTAAAATTTTTATTTTAACACGCATAAAATATTAATCATTTTTGCAAAGATATTTCTTTATTCTAATAATAATCATAAGCTCTTAATTCTAATGATGTATCTGCCATTCTTGGCCATTTTGATGTATCCTGGGGAAGGACAGGTAGCTACTGGGTTAACGTGATAGATTGTCTTAAAAATGGAAGCTCTAATGTGCTGTTTAAGTCTTTCATTAGAATTTTAAAATCATTTTTAAAATCACCTTAAAAATCTAATCTAGTAGTTTTCAACCACAGGGATCTATAAGAATCACCTATAGAGTGATGTAATCACCTATAGAGTGAATCACCTATAGAATGATATAGTGAATATAAATTCAGAAATGGGGTTTAGAAATAGAATTTTGTTAAAGCTCTTCAGGTGATTCCAATGCCTACCAGTAGTTAAAATCATGAGCTAGTCAACTGACTCATTTTTAGAGGTGGGAAAACTGAGGCTTGAAGAGTTTACACACAATAGTGTATACTGATTCTCCAAAGTCCTGGAAATCTTCTCACAACACTGCTCAGTATACAACACTGGGAAGAGGCATGAACAGATAGGCACGAACACACATATGCATCCAGAAAATGAACCAAACTGAGTTTGAAATTGTAATTGTAATTAACCAGAATTTTTGCTTTTGATGATCAATATACAGTATTATCATTATGCAGCATTGAATATATTATTGTTTAGTAATTTAACTTTTAAACTAAAAAAACATGGTGCTTTTTCATTTATTTAGCAACCATTCCACCAAACAGACCAACTCCTTCAGACATGGCCATTGTCATGTATACCAGTGGTTCAACTGGCCGCCCTAAGGGAGTGATGATGCATCATAGCAATTTGATAGCTGGAATGACAGGCCAATGTGAAAGGATACCTGGACTAGGGTAAGAGAGAATTATTCAACTTTATTTTTTGTAATACAGAGCTTGTGTTCAGCATTCTCTAAACTATATTAAAATAATAAAGTTATTGATGTATCTGATTTTAAAATTCCTTTTCAAACTTGGAGTGGAACCAGCATTTGACTCAGTTATCCCACTCCTTGGCATATACCCAAAGGACTTACTTTCAGCATATTATAGTGACATGGCTACATCAGTGTTCATAGCAGCTAAATTTGCAATTCCCTAAGCTATGGAACCAACCTAGGTGCCCTTCAATAGATGAATGGATAAAGAAAATGTTGTATGTATACACAATGGAATATTACTCAATCATAAATAAGAATGAAATTATGGCATTTGCCAGTAAACAGATGGAACTGGAAACTATCAAGCTGAGTGAAATAAGCCAATCCTAAAAAATCCAAATTCCAAATGTTCTCTTTGATATGCAGATGCTGACTCACAATAGGTGGGGGGTGGAGGTTCACTGGATTGGAGGGAGGGGTGTTGATGCGGGGAAGAAAGAGAGGCTAGGAATAGGACAGTCAGTAGAATGAATTGGACATAACTTTCCTGTGTTCATATATGAATACACAACCAGTTAACTCCACGTCATGTACAACCACAAGAACGGAAAGTTATATTCCATGTATGTATAATATGTCAAAATACATTCTACTGTCATATATAACTAAAAGAACAAATAAGAAAATGCCTTTTCAAAAGTGGTTAAAATGTTTCTTCTATTTTATTTTAGACCAAAGGACACATATATTGGCTACTTACCTTTGGCTCATGTGCTAGAATTGACAGCAGAGATATCTTGCTTTACCTATGGCTGTAGGATTGGATATTCTTCTCCACTTACACTGTCTGACCAGGTGACAAACTTTTTAGTATATTGGTGTTACAATATTAAGTTATATTGGGTGGCATACTACTTAAACATGAGTTATTTTAATTCAGTTAAAACTTTCTCTGTAACTTAAAAAATACTTGTTATGAGCAATATGTAACTACTGTAAACAACCTTGGTTTTGTTAGCATTGCTTCAGATACCTGTTTTTAAATTATTTTGAAATGAATAAATATTTTCATCTTTTCTTTTCCTATCAATTGTTTTTTACTCTGGAGAGCTAATGTAAAAAATATAAATATACTGAGCCTTTTTGACATATTAACCCAGGACCACTGATGTGTTCTTCTAGAGGAGATGTGGAGTTTTGACCCAGTATTCATCTGAATTTTCTCTATACTTGTGCTGTCCTAAACAGTAGTCACTAGCTGCATCTTTAAATAGAAATTAATTAAAATTTAAAAATTTACTTTTTTATTTTCAATAGCTACATTTCAAGTTCTCAATAGCTATGTGTGATCAGTGGCTGCTATGTTGGACAGAATAGATACACATTATTTTCATCCATGCAGAAACTTCTTATTGGACAGTACTGCAGTATCTCCAAGGACAGCCCTTGGCTTAGTATACTGAGTCAGGGTTCTCCTTTCTCTGTTATTCATGGCAACAAACCCAACAATGGGTATGGCTCACTCATGTCTTTTAAGCACATCTATTGTCCACAGTTCTGTTATATGCCTTCTTTGGAATAGTTGTGATAGAAAAGACTCAACCAGGTATAGGAAAAATAGCTACTAAGAACATTGTGGATTTCAGGGTGCTGAAAGATAAAGTAAGTGTAGGAATGACTTGACTCTGTGTGTAACTTTGACACTCCTGAGGACCCAGCAGTTATTTTTAGATCTCTGGCCAACAGTGCCTATTATTTGGGATCTGATGGTGCTAATAGTTAGAGATTGTATTACTTTTAACTTTTTTATAGAAATTCCTGTTTAGGGAGATTAGTAGGTTTGTATAGTAGTAAGGTAAAAAAAATTAAATAGATTTTTTTTCAGATTTATTCGGGATTCTAACCACCTTTATCTGTGTTTTGTTTTTTACTTTTGATGTATAACTTAAGGTGCACAAATATTAAATGTATTACTTGATTAAATTTAATGTACACAACATGTAGATTTCTCATCATTACCATCCAGAGCAAGAAAAAAAAGTGTTCTCAACATTGTAGAATTTCCCTGTTTCCTCTTAGTCATTACCACCCCACAAAGATAATTCAGTTTCCTTTTAAAGTGGTTTTTGCTATGAAGAAGAGTTCTGTTCCAACTAACTACCAACTTTGTACTTTAGAGGATACAACCTGTTTGTAAGAGGGGGTGCTGCTGTATTTAATTTAACTCTAATACTCAGCCCCAAATTAACCTTTAAAATTTGCCAAAATAGTAATAGGATAAGTAAACTATCAAATAAACTAATAAAACTTGATTTAGTAAAGTCAGAGTAGGCCTATGTATATACAGGGCTTAAATTATGGGAAACATTTTAGAAACATTTGTGATGATTTTGTTTTGAGATTCTAGTGGGAATTTCTTATGTTAAGAGACCTTATTAAAATGTGAAAACATGGTTCTGGGGTTGTGGCTCAGTGGTAGAGTGTTTGCCTAGCATGTGTGAGGCACTGGGTTCAATCCTCAACAACACATTAAAAAAATGAATAAAATAAAGTTATAAAAAATGTGAAAACATTTCCATAAGCTTTGGGTATGTTTTTTCCCCTTTGGGGAAGTTCAGAAGCCTAGACTAGCACCATTCCCCACCCCCATTTTTTACTGCCTTTCTAAGAACAATAGCCTCATTGTGGGGAAGGAAAAATAGTTGGATCTATTGCTGGTCTGACTTAGTTCTTGCTGTCTATTAGGCAAAGCTCTAGTACAGTAGAAGCCTTTTAGATAAATTCACTCCTACTTTGTAAATGAACTTTACTCAAAGATAATGAATCTTTATTTTAGTTGTAGATGAACACAATACCTTTATTTTATTGATTTATTTTTATGTGGTGCTAAGGATTGAACCCAGTGCCTGAAATGTGGAAGGCAAACGCTCCAGCACTGAGCTGTAACCCTAGCCCCAAAGATCTGAATCTTACTAGAAATCTAAATTTTAGGAATCATCCTCAAGTAGAGATTAGAGGCACCACATTTGAAGCTAGCAGATGATAGTGATGTTGTCATAACTGGGGTTACCGTTATCGTAATAAGACAAATGAACTGATAATACAGGTTGGGCACCCCAACCCGAAAATCTGGAATCCAGAATGCTCCAAAATGCAAAACTTTTTGAGAGTTGACATGATACCACAAGTGGAATATTCCACACCTGATCTCATATAACAAGTCACTATCAAAACACAGGAGCACTGAAACTATTGTATAAAATTCCCTTCAGACAATATGTAGTAAGGTGTGTATGAGATGCAAATAAATTTTGTGTTTAGACTGGGGTCACATCCTAGGGTATTTCATATATATATATATATATATATATATATATATATATATATATATATATAAAATGTGTGAGGATGTGCATGCATATGCATGTGTACACACATTCCAAAACTTGAAAATTTTATATCAGACATTTTTTGTCCTGAGGATTTCCTTCTTTCTTTCTTTCATTTCTAATAAGGGCTACTCAACCTGTATTACTATGAATAATAAAGAAAACATGAGGGGGCTAGGGTTGTGGCTCAGTGGTAGAGCACTTGCCTGGCATGCATGGACACTGGGTTCCATCCTCAGCACATAAAAAAATAAAATGATGTGTCAAAAAAAAAAGAAAGAAAGAAAAAGAAAACAAGGAATGGCTCCCTGTGACTCCTGCTTCTCTGGAACATCTTTCTATGGTAACAACTGGTCAGTAACACATGAGGGGCAGTTTCTACTTGAAGGACTGAAGAGCTAATTTTCTCTCTACAAAGTGGCTTTCCCATGCATGGTGTGCATGTGTGTCTACAAATTTCCACTAACAAGTGTGCACACACTTGCACATACATATGACATAGGAGTTGTTTTTTTTTTTTAATCTCCTTTATCTGTATTAAAGAAAAGCAGGAGAAAAATCAATTTAGTTTTACCAGCAGAACCTTATGTATGGTCAAGCAGGTGGTTCTTGTGGGTCACATGGCTTCTTCAGCGTTGGTTATCTTCTTCCCTGTATTAGCCATCTAAACTTACATAATAAACTGCATTTCAGGAGCTTCTTATTTTTAATGTATTTTGGTGAGTAATTTTATCAATTTTTCTAACTATTGATCTGATATTACTAATCCCAAATAGTATGTATGGATAAAAGAAGAAAGGAGGGGAGGGAGGCAGGGAGAGAAATACACATTTATATATATTTATATACACACACACCTCTCCAACTTGGCCACTGGCATTGTCTTCCTATTTTACTGAGCAGAATATTATCCAATTAGGATTTCTGAATGTTAGTTGATACTCATACTGATGACTTTGAAATGTGTCCTTGCTTATTCATTAATCAAAGAAAGTTGCCTTTGATTTTGTTTTATTGTTAAATTTACTTTAATTGACTTTTTTCGGAAAATGTACAAAAATGTAGTTTGTGCTATATTTTGATGGTACATTATTAATAAGAATCTTTGATTCCCCAAAACTTCTCATTCTTCCTTCCGAATCAGAGTTTCTCCTCTGTAGAAGGCTGAGACATGCTAGCAGCCATAATCTTCAGGATGAAGCACTAGATTGCTTACACTTTGGCTTTTTATAGCAGTAGAAGAACAAATTTCTTGTGTAGCTCTGTATTTGTTATTAATACTTGAGTTAGAACATTTTTTGCTAAGGTCGGTTTCCCTGATCATGATTATATTTTCTTTATTGTAGTCCAGCAAAATCAAAAAGGGAAGCAAAGGGGACTGTACTGTACTGAAGCCTACACTTATGGCTGCTGTTCCAGTAAGTACCATATATGAATATGAATAGAAGAGGATCCCTTGTATAATTTCTTGCTTACACTTTGTCTTTGTAAAATGTAATACTCTTAGATATATGCGTACATTTCAAAATAATTTTACTTTATTGAAATGCATTCCTTAAAAATCTTAGATATATTGGCAAGATGAAATGGCAAGCTTTTGAAATCTGTGTCTGTTAGTGTTTGCAGATCCTTGAAATTTGAGTGATGAAAATGACTTTGTTTCAACTACCTAGTTTGATAATTGGTCATAATATCTTAAGATAGGATAAACTCTAAAGATAATCCTGTTTAATCTTTTAACTTAAGAAATGGAACAAGGAGGTCTGGGGCTGTAGCTCAGTGGTAGAGTGCTTGCCTAGCACATGTGAGGCACTGGGTTCGACTCTCAGCACCACATAAGAATAAATAAATAAAACAAAGATATTGTGTCCATCTACAACTTAAAAAAATGAAAAAGAAAAGGAACAAGGAAACACTGGGCTGCCCTAGAGAACTGAGGCAGCATTTCCAATTTTATGGGGCTGATTAGTGACAGAGCTGAGTCAAAGATGCAAGCCTCCTGACCTTTTTATGTGATAAAGGACAACTGTTACTTTGAGATAGCTCCCATTGGAAAAAAAATGAATTATTCAAAATCCTTATGTGAAATATTACCTTTAAAAAAGCAAGATCTTGCTTTTTATAACCTTGGAATGATAAGTTTTGCAACATCTAATACATTCTTTCCAATTTGTGTACAAATATCTTCTAGCACTTTTGTACTTTGGAAACCCCAGGGAGATAGTATATTGCTACTGCTTATATTATGATTGGATTTTAAATCTTACTCTAATATCTTTCACAGCATTACTTTTTTACATAAGAAGTCTGACATTAGATAATGAAATGTTCAAGTTTTTCTAAGTATCACAGATGGAAGATATGTGGTCTTTTTAGCTTCTAATTCAAAATTAAAATAACCAAAGATTCAAATCTGTCAGAGAAGCCTTTGTCTTTTTACTTAGAAGAACTGTAGAATTCGGTGTTCTCAAAATATGAGAGATTTCTGACTAAAGACATCATGAAATGATGCTAAGAACAGCAAGTGAAGTACTTACTCTGTTCCGGGTTAATCCTCCTTAAGACTCTGCTGGGTGGGCCCTATTATCACTACTTTTTCTTATAAAGAATGAAATTTAATATTTGGTAGAATCAAAACTTGAACTCTAGCAGTCTGATTAAAAAATCTTCTAACCACTATGACTGTCTATTTAGGATAGTTTTGTATTTTGTTTTGGGAAACAATATATTGGCTTGACTACCTAAAGTACAGGACTCCCTCATGAATCTCAACGTAGGGAGGGGAAAGGGCCAAGGTATCAAGCCAGGCCTGATTTTAGGCCTGAAGGATAAGCAGGAGTTAGCAGATAGGCTATTTATCCTCTAATTTCACATTGCCCTTTCTTCCCTGCCTTACTTTATATGTTGGAGGGCTAACTTCTATGGATGACCAACCAGTGCCGCAGTCTGGCTGGGCACAATCAGGAGCCACTTGTCAAAAGAAACTAACTTTATTTTTAGAACCACACACGCCAAACAAAATAGCCTCTCAGGAAAAACCCTCAGAGCCTCAACTGCCACCACCGGCTTTCCACAAGCCTCTCTCTCCCCTACAAGCTTCTCTCCACCTCCCACAATCCTCCTGCTCTTGAGGCCGATTGGCTGGGTCACGTGGGCGGAGCCAAAAAAGTCCCCCAATGAGCAGCTCCGTGGTCTGAAAGGGCAGGGAAACAGTCCAATGAGCATCACCGCAGAGGAGCCAATCAGCTAGATGTTGCTGGGGCTGAGGAGCCAATCAGCTAGATGTTGCTGGGGCCGCTGTGAGCCAATCATCAGCCAGCAGCTGGAAGTTTGCTGGCAGCTGGAAGTTTGCTGGGGCCCCTTTGGCTGTGGCTCTCAACAAACCAGGGCTTCATTGCCTTATAATTTCTTATGGGGTTCAGCTAATTAGAAGTACTCATGAAATGAGAGTAGGAAGAGAGCAACAAATCTGTACATTTCTTACCTCAGTTTCTTCCCCGCTGGTTTGAGAGTTTGTCAGTTGTCAAGCACCTGTTGGGTAGTCCCTTTCCGAATAGCTGTAACCAGCTCTTTTCCATGGCTACAGTCTTATCCAGGTTCCAGTGATAACTGTCCTTCTCTTACTTCTTCAAGCCTAAGATATTGAATAGTCTTCCGTGTTGCTAGTCCATTGACACTTCAAAACTTGCACATTCTCTTAGTTTTTTTCCACTCCTCTACAAATAGGCTCATTTTTAAAAAAAGAATTTCCTTCTTGAGAACTATTTTGTTGTCACTATTATTATTCTTTTGTAGTACTGGAGATCGAATCCAGAACCTCACGCATACAAGGCAAGCTCTACCACTAAGCTACATCCCCAGCCCAAGAACAGTTTTTGATAGATGTTGTTTTTTGAGTTTGTTTCATTCCTGGGTGAGAATAAAAGATTTATTTAGTACTGTTAACATTCACAATGTGATAATTCAGAATAAATCACTACTACTTCTAAGCAGTGACTCAATGGAACATCATGTAATGTTAGTTTGAGATAAAGGGTGATTTGATGAGCTAACAGTAAATCCTGCCAACTTGTTGCAACTCTATAGTGTTACTTACTCACTGAGGCCTTTCCACACTCATGATTAGTATCTAGTACTGAAAAAAAAAAAAAAAAAAAAAAACAATGGAAGTGATTCTCATACATCTGTCTTACTCCCAGGCACTTGCTTTTGTGTGTTCGAATTTTAGGAACCCATATGTTTTTTAATAGGGATAGTTATAGGATTTTAAACTTATTTAAATATTGGGATTTCTCAGTTACAGACCTAGAGAAATATTTCAATTATACAATCATTGATTCCTTTTGTAGAAATGGAGAAAACAACCTTTTGAGGAATGGTTCTGCTGACTTCATTTGTGATTGACTCTATTCAAATATTGAAATAACCATCCATAAAATTATTCCTTGTAGGAGAACTTAATTTATACTGATGATTGACACTTGAAATATTTAGAACCAAGTATTTATAAGCAGGTGTGCTTTGTACAATGATTTTTATTAATTTGTACAATAATTTTTTATTAATTTGTGCTAAGTAATTTCAAGAAGACATCATTTAATGATTAGGATTTTTTTCTTTGTGTTATACCTGTTAACCTGGGAATTTTATATTCTAAATCTTGTCCTACCTCTAATTTTCCACATAGATGTAAGAATATTACTCTTTTTTTGTTATATTTGCTTTATTAAAATGGAATAGGAATGCCTAAATTACAGAGACATAAGATTTTTAAGAAACTGTAACACCAACTATCATGCTGCAAGTCATAAGGTCATAGTTAAAAGATAAAAATATTAGGATTAGTTTCAACATAGTTGGGTATTTCAATGCTGTCGGTTAATAAGTAAATATTTCTGTGAGAGCTGAGTGAATTCTCTGTACTTTAGTTAACATTTCTTAAAATGTTAGATGAACTTAGGGTATAGAACTGAGGAAACCCCTATACTTGTTCTTTATGTTATTTTAAATTAAATTTTTATTTTTGATTGTCAATTATATGTATGTATGGAGTCCAACGTGTTATTTTGATATATGTATTATCATTAGTCTTTTTGAACGAGTGAACAAGTAAGTAAAATTAATTCTATAATGAAACAAATAAATATGTCCATTATCCTAGAGATATACCTAAGATTTCACAAATAAATTTATAGACTGTACCACTGTTAGTGTAATTCTTTTCAGATTATTAAATGTTTTGTTTATTTTTTAGGAAATCATGGATAGAATTTATAAGAATGTTATGAGTAAAGTTCAAGAAATGAATTATATTCAGAAAACGCTATTCAAGATAGGGTATGACTATAAATTGGAGCAGATCAAAAAGGGATATGATGCACCTCTTTGTAATCTGTAAGTACATTTCATAGTCCCTATGGTTGGAGCCTTTATTTATTTTTTTTTTTGAGATAGAGTCCTTCCTTGTTTCCCACATGCTGGCCTCAAACTCCTGGGCTCAGGCAATCTTTCTGCCTCAGCCTCTTAAGTAGCTGGGAATGAGTTCATGCCATTGCACCTGCAATATATGTGTTTGGATGTGTGAGTGTGTGTTTAAATCTGGAATATGAAAAAGTAAATGGCAAGTTAATTTAGTATCACTATTACCACCATCATCTTAAGGCTGAATTTCTCTTTTATCCACAGTATTTATACAGCAAGCACAGGAGTCTGAACTCTGAACTTGGCAATTTAATAAATTTTAATAATCAAGTAAATACTTAAGATTTAATTATAAAATTGGGTCTTGTGAAGAAAAATAAATAGACATTTAAGTCAAAACACTTGAATTTATAAAAAGTGTCAGCTAGTACTGTTAACATTCACAATGTGATAATTCAGAATAAATCACTACTTCTTCTAAGCAGTGACTCAATGGAACATCATGTAATGTTAGTTTGAGATAAAGGGTGATTTGATGAGCTAACAGTAAATCCTGCCAACTTGTTGCAACTCTATAGTGTTACTTACTCCTTAAGTAAGTGATCTTCAAGATTTATTTTTCATAGAGTTTTCTGTTTTATTATATTCATAATATAGTATAGCAAGTAGATGAATATAACAGTTATTTTAATTGTGGTACTGGGTGTAGGGATGGGGAAGCATATTTCGTTTGAAGGAAGATAAAATAGGTGACTAATTGCTTCCAAGATAACTATATTTTTTCCTGTGACATCATTTTCTTTTATTCACTGTATGTCAGAGCAGTTTCCTGATACTGTATGTTCTCAGGGTGGGTGTTTAGGAGCTTTTCTGGAATTTTTTAAAGGTGTAATAGTTGTTTCTTTATTAACATCTTATTACCATCATGCTTCTAAAATTTGCATGTTCAACCATAGTTGAGAAATCTTTTCCAGAATTTACGAATTAGTGTGTCACCAAGAATAATGTATTCATGTATTAAAATCATTTATCTCTTCAGGTTACTCTTTAAAAAAGTAAAGGCTCTGCTGGGAGGGAATGTCCGTATGATGCTGTCAGGTGGGGCACCATTGTCTCCTCAGACACACCGATTCATGAATGTCTGCTTCTGCTGCCCCATTGGTCAGGGTTATGGACTGACAGAATCATGTGGTGCTGGGACAGTTACTGAAGGTAAGCATTGTTAATGTGGCAAATCATTCTATATTAGTCACTACTAATAAAATTCATTTGAATTACCTTTGGAAACCATGATTTCTTTATAATATCTCTTAAATAATATCAGATTCACTGGATGCCTATAATGTTTTAGTTTTGTGAATGTTTGTTTAAGAATACCATGTGTACCCTTGTTCCCTTTAATTTTAAGCCAGGTAAATATTTATTCCACATTTTCAGTCTTCAAAATTTTATCACCCTGGTCCTTTAATCTTCTTTTTGTAAATTACCACTCCTTTGGAGAACTGTACTCATAGAATGAAGTATCACTAGTATGTTCCCCTTAAATAAATATTCCTGTCTTAAATTCTGTATTTTCACATCTTATTTTCAATACCCCAAGGCAGGATTTCTCAACCTTTGAAACAGACAATTATTGTTGAGTGCTCTCCTGTATGTTGAAGGATGTTTAGCAGTCAGATACTAGTAGAAACTTGCTTAGCCCAGCTGTAACAATGAAACATATCTCCAAACCTTGGCACATATCCCTTGTGGGACAAAATTACCCCAGGTTGAGAAACAGTGGGTTATAGGAAATTTTTAAATGATCTCACTATCACTTTAAACTCATTGTGTCCAAAATCAGTTTCCTTATTGCAAACTGTCTCCCCATTACCACATTATTTGTTTTTGTCAATGGTATCATACCCTTAAAGTCATTCAGGGTATCAGCTTTGAAATCCTCTGAATGTTTACTTTGCAATATTATTAACTTTCATCAGATCTTCCCATTCCTTAATTAGATTACTCCTTGCCTTTCATGCCAACGATGTCATTCTACCTTTCATGACTTTAGCTGCTCTGAGGTGACAGTCTCACTGAAAGCAGTGACTGTATCTGTCTGTATTCTATCATATCAAATCCATCCTTTATTCTTTTATTAGGCCCATCTACCTCACTCACTTATAGATGATGTAACAAATCTAAATGCACTTTTATCTGACCTTTAAGACGTCATTAATCTGGCACTATTGCACCTATCCATCATCATTGTCCATGAATGTTCATACCTGGCTTTTCTTTCAAAGTAAGCCAATCATGGCCTCTTTCCTATACATGGAGTTTTGGTCTCACCTCTCTATAGTTTCTCTTCCTTTCTGTTGAGTGCCCTTTTGTTAGCTGCTCATAGCTGCCCAACTCTTTAATAAAAGTCTTCCCAAACTACTTCATCTTATGTTGATATTTCAAGTCTCTAAGGGACTATATTGTATTTACCATTAGTACCATGCAGTTTAGTATTTAAATGTTCTCTCAATTGTTTCATGTGTATTTCTTCCTTCCTTTATAAGGTTTCTGAGGGTAGGATTTCCTTACCCTTTATGTGTTTCCTTCAAAAATTTAATATAGTGGTGGATGCATAATAAGCTGTCTATAAATATATACGTGATTATTGCTAACAGTAATCACAAATTACAAAGGATATTATCGGCATGATCATTATGTTTAACAGAGACTAACATTTATTGAACACTTAGTTTGTGCCAAGAAGGGTTAAGCACTTATCCACATACTATCTCACTTAATCTTCACAACTTATCCCTTTATGAGGTAGGCCCAATTACTATCTCTGTTTAATATATGAAGAAATGGAAGCATAAACAGGTTAAGCAACTTATCCAAGTTACATGGCCGATGAGTGAGAGAGCAGGAATCCTCATCAAAGAGATTTGTATATGTAATTATCTAAAATATAATCTTGAAAGGCAAAATTACACTGTTGAAATAGAGTTGAAACACTGAAAAATGACCACCCTTTGCATTCCTGTCACTACAGCCTCTCCTTTGTCATCTTTCAGACGCTGGGTTTCTGAGTTCTCAATACATACATCTGAAATGTAGTATGCTAATATTCATTGCTTTTCTTTCATAGTTACTGACTATACTACTGGCAGAGTTGGGGCTCCACTCATTTGCTGTGAAATTAAGCTAAAAGACTGGCAGGAAGGTAAGAATTTCATGACAAGCTCTAGTGATTCTAGATACACCAAAAACATTGCAAGCCTCAAGACATTTCTTTAAAGTGTTAGGTTGTCTAAGGGAACACATAGTGATTTTTCATGGATGCCTATGTCCTGTGTTTTCTTTTTACTCAGTAATACTTTTAGATTCACAAGAAGAAAAGAAAATCTCTATATTCAAGGCCTGGTGATTCTCATCTTCGGAATACTTGATGGGAAAGTGGGAAAAATTCTTAGTGAGGTTTTCCCTGGGTTTGAAGAAAGTGAGGATCATTTGAAGTTCAATTTTGCAGGCAAGGATGTTGGGGCTGAGAAAGAAAACCCAGATTTTCAGGGGATGGAATGACTAATTTCACACATACATAAACTAACATTTTAGATCTTGACCCTAGCAAAGATTTTCATATTTCAAACTCACTCTTCCAGTCATCTTTATAGTAAAATTTTTACATGTACCTATAGAGACAAGCCAGTTAGAGGAAACTTGCACTGTACAGAAATTGGTCAGAATCCTTTTTATAAATAAGCTAGAAGCCAGGTACAGTGGTACATGCCTGTAAATCTCAGTTACTTGGGAAGCTGAGGGAGGAGGATCTCAAGTTCAAGGCTAGCCTCAGCAATTTGACAAGACCGTGTCTCAAAAAAAATTTTTTTAAATACTTTTATTTATTTAGAGATGGGGTCTTGCTCTGTTGCCCAAGCTGGCCTCAAATTAAAAATCATATTTAAAAGTCAGTGCATTCCCAAGAGTTTTATACTTTAGACTGAATCTTCCTTTCATGTTGAGGCCATTCCAATTTTACAATGAAAATCTGAAGAAAATATAGGTAGTGTGTGTATACATGTATTGGACATCAGCATCAAAATTGTTTTATTAGATGGGTTGTTTGGTAGGCACTTGATTCAGAGAAATGACTATAGTAAAACTTGTTAAGGATATTTTTGCCTTTAACTTTTATTTTCTAATTTTCTGGTGGTATATTTTGATGTCAGTTTGAGGGGGGTTCTATATTGAAAATATATTTGGAGTTTTCCTTGCTGTGAAGGATTTTTGGCATTATATAATAGGAATGATCTTAAAGTTGTACATATAGTAGGTTTTATCATATTGACATAATGAATACTTTTAAATTTATAAGAATAGCTAATAATGGAACTCTATGAACCCTAAGCTTCAGTGGTGAAGGTTTTTGTCATGGGAAGGTAGTTGTTGATGGTGATTACTGTTTGGCCTTTCCTGGTGCTCCTGATGTTATAGACACCCACAGTCTTCATATAAAACGGATTAAATGTAAACTAATACTCTTCCAACTAATAATGAAGAGTTTAATTTTTTTTAGTTATAGATGGACAAAATATCTTTATTTATTCATTTTTATGTGGTGCTAAGAATCAAACCCAGTGACTCACACATGCTAGGCAAATACTCTACCACTGAGCCACAACTCCAGCTCCATAATGAAGAATTTGATCAGCAGAAAAACATTAACAAAAGAACTTTAAGAATTAATGAAGTTATGAGGAAGTGCTGGCAAATGAAATCTACTAAATCATACACTATTCATGTACAAATATGCCTCAATGAATCCAGCTTATACATATAATGCACTAAATAATAATAAGGAGATCAGCAGAGTAGAACAAGTGGGTCAGGAGGAAGGAGTAGAGGAGGGAAAGGAAAGCTACTGAGGAATGAGATTGATTAAATAATAATGTGCATATATGAATATGGCATAATGAATCCTACTAATATGTATAATTATAATGCATCAATTAAAAAGTTAATGAAGGTAAATTTTGTTTTAGAATAATAACTGATTTGCTTTTATTATCTGCAGGTGGTTATACAGTTCATGACAAACCAAACCCCAGAGGTGAAATTGTCATTGGTGGACAAAATATTTCCATGGGATACTTTAAAAATGAAGAGAAAACAGCAGAGGATTATTCTGTGGATGAAAATGGACAAAGATGGTTCTGTACTGGTGATATTGGAGAATTCCATCCTGATGGATGTTTACAGATTATAGGTCAGTGTATGCTCTTCTCGTGTATTTTTCTTTAGTTTTTGTGATTTCAACATATCAATAGGGTTGATGTTATATGGTTTCAATCTTTGGGCAATTTATTTAATTTATGCCTGAGCTTCTCCATTTATAAAATAGGGACAACAATACCAATCTCATATAATATCTGTTAGGACTAAATGAGTTGATATATATAAAATTCTTAGAGAAGTACCTTGACCTTGGTATGCAGTAACAAAAGTATCAGCTACAGAAGCATTTGAGTGTAATAAAAATGGGCAGGAAAATAAAAGATTGGCTAATGAGAAAACAAAAATAGTTCAAGAGAAGTATGTTTTGGTTAACTACATGTTGTTCTGCAGAACTAGTTACTATAACATACTCTATTCTAGGCCTTACACTTGACCATCCCACCCACGGGACAACATCTTAGTGAGTGTGTGTGTGTGTGTGTGTGTGTGTGTGTGTGTGTGTTTTCCTGGTGCCCATTTATATGGCTCTAACCAGCCCTTAAACTTAGAAAATGATAATATCAATCCTAAACACCAGTCTGTCTATTCTTCTGAGAATGTCAGTTGCTTTGACCTTACCCTTACTGAGCTTACAGAAGTAGACCTTTATGTTCAAAAACCAATTCCAAAAGTGGCTTAAATTGAAATATTCTGTTCATTTTAATCAGGCAAAAGATGACTTCCTAATAAGGACGACTCTGCAGAGTCCCAGTTAGGCCCTTTTTAAGCCACATAGTTCCTTAAATCATAGCTCTAGGGACCCATTTCAATGTGTTGCTGGACTTTACAGTTTCTGACCCAAATATGGAGATTACCTGGGAAAATTGGTTTTTCATTTAGAACTTTGATGTACTGGGGAAATTCCCAGGAAACATGGTTCAGTTGAGAACTAAGTCTTTTTCCCCTTGTGTCTTAATTGCACTGGAAACGAAAGTTATTTCTGTAGAGTGTTCTCCCAGGCTATAGGTAGGCAAATCAGTGCTCACACAAAGGTTGTCAGGCAAGTTGATGATTATTTAAGCTGGGTCATCCTGTGCCAGTACTTTCTTAGAGCACAGTTATTTAAAGAAAATTTTAAATATAGAAAATTGGGGATTAACATATATTGAATTTGCTCTATATGGCAGATATAGTGTGACATCCTGTATGAGTTAGGCATCAATATTCCTGATAAAAGAAATATTCCTGAGAAAGGCTGGAGCTCTGGCTCAGTGGTAGAGCACTTGCCTAGCATGTGTGAGGCACTGGGTTCGATTCTCAGCACCACATATAATCAAAAAATAAATAAAGGTCTATTGACAACTAATTTTTTTTTTAAAGTAAGAATGAGAAATGTTAAATAACATGCCAAGAATCTCATAGCTAGTACTGGGCAGAGCTACCATTTAAATCTAATGCTTCACCAGGGCACAGTGGCCCATGGCCTATGATCCCAGCAATTTGGGGGCTGAGACAGGAGGATGGCAAGTTTGAGGCAAGTCTGGGCAACTTAGTGAGATCCTGTCTCAAAGTAAAATTTAAAAAGGACCAAAAGTGGTAGAGCACCCTGGTTCAATCTCCAGTATCCCCCCACACCAAAAAAAAAAAAAAAAACCCTCAATAACCAAAAAACTAATGCTTAAAAATTCTGTTCTTTCTATTAACTTCATTTTAATATTTAAGATTATGATAAGATGTTCAAGCTTTGAGTATAGGGTATAGCTTTTAGCCAATACTTCTTTAATTAGGCATTTTCTTTTTTACTGATATGTATAGTTAAAAGAAGTACCTTGTAAGTAAAGATTAAGGCAATGAAATTCAAAGAAAATCAGAATTGTTTATATCTGTTGAGTGTGGTGGTGCACACCTATAATCCCATTGGCTTAGGAGGCTAGGAAAGAGGATCACAAATTCAAAGCTAGCCACAGCCGATTAGGAAGGCCCTAAGCAACTTAGCAAAATATGAAACCCTGTCTTTAGATAAAATATAAGAAAAGCTGGAGATGTGACTCAGTGGTTAAGTGCCCCTGGATTCGATCTTTTATAACCCCCCCCCAATAGAATTGTTCATATCTTAATGAAACAGACCATGAATAACTTAACATTCTTCATGTCTTATAGATCGTAAGAAAGATCTGGTAAAATTACAAGCTGGAGAATATGTGTCTCTTGGGAAAGTAGAAGCAGCACTGAAGAACTGTCCTCTTATTGACAACATCTGTGCTTTTGCCAAAAGGTAACTTTCAAAAATGACATTTTATGTTTCATATACTTATAGTAAAAGGAAAATAAGAAAGGAATTTATTTATGATCATTAGTATAACATCAAACTCCTCTTAGAACTTTCATCAGAGTTTAAAAATTACACCTATGAAAGTTCTTGAATTCAGTAAAGGATCATCAACAACTAAGAAAAAGCCTAAGGTATTCAAATATTTTTTATGTGTTATAATGTTTTATTTTTATGGGCTTTGTTCTTTTTTTGAAATCATAATTGTGGTTATAAACTGACAAAATTCACCATCTTCATTTCTAAGTGTACAGTCCACTAGTGTTAATTATATGTATCTTGTTAGACAGTCAATCTCTAGAAATTTTTCATCTTGCAAAACTAAAACTCTATACCCATTAAACAACTCTCCATTTCCCCCTTCCCTCAGCCCTTGACAACCACCATTCTACTTTCTGTTTCTATGAATTTGACTATTCTAGATACCTCATATAAGAAGCATTATGCAGTATTTGTCTTTTTTATGTTTGGATTATTTCACTTAGCATGATGTCCTTAACATCCATCCCTGTTGTAGAATGTGTCAGAATTGCTTTTCTTTTTAAGGCCAATATTATTCTATTGTACATACATAGAATGTACAATTATATATATATATATATATTCTGTCAATGAACACTTGGGTTCCTTCCACCTCTTGACTGTTGTGAATAATATGGCTATGAATCTCTTCAGTATTCAATTCTTTTGGATATATACCCAGATGTGGAATGGCTGGATCATATGATAATTATGTTTTTAATTTTTTTTGAGGAACTGCCTTACTGTTTTCCATAGTGGCAGCACCATTTTTACATTTCTACCAACAGGGCACAAGTATTCCAATTACTCCATCTTCTTAACAACATTTGCTTCTGCCTTTTTTTGTCTTATAATAATCATCCTAATGAGTGTGCAGGGATATCTCATTTTTGTCTCGATTTGCATTTTCCTAATGATTATTACTGTTTGAGCTTCTTTTTTTTATTGGTTGTTCAAAACATTACAATGCTCTTAAGCTTCTTTTCATATGATTGCTGGCCATTGTATATCATCTCTGGAGAAATTTTTATTTAAATTGTTTGCCTGATTTTAATTTGAACTATTTGTTTTTTTATCGCTATTATTAGTTGTAGGAGTTCTTTATATATTCTATAGAATAAGCCTTTATCAGACACATGATTTTTCAAAAATTTGTTTTAGTTGTGTATGGACTCAATTCCTTCATTTGTTTTTATATGGTGCTAGGATTGAACCCAGTGCCTCACATTTGTGAGGCAAGTGTTCTACCACTGAACTACAACTCCAGCCCCCAGATGAAAGATTTTAAGATATTTTTTCATCTCAATGGATTGCCTTTTTCTCTATTTTTTTGTGTGTTTTTGGAGGCACAGAAGTTTTTAAATTTAATATAGTCCCATTTATCAATTTTTGCTTTTGGTTTCAAAATACCACATACATTGCCCTAAAGCTTTATCCCCATTTTTTTCTTATAGGGGTTTTATAGTTTTAGCTTTTAAATATTTAGGTATTTGTTCCATTTTTATTTAATTTTGTATATTTTGGAAGGTAAAGGTTCACCTTTATCTGTTGCATGTGAGTATCTAGTTTTCACAGCACGATTTGTTGAAGAAATTTCCCTTTTGTCATTGAATTGTCTTAACACCCCAGTTGAAGATTGACCATAGATGCAAAGTTTTACTTCTGGACTCTCTTTTCTAGTCCATTGGTCTATTTTTCTGTGTTTATTTCATTGTTATGTGTTTTATTACTTCTTAATGAATATTAACAAATAAGAGAAATATATAGTTGGGATTATCTGTTGTATTATATCATTGAATAATTTATGAATATTTTTGCTATTCTTTTAATTTCTATTTTATTTTCTAATTTTTAGTGACCAGTCCTATGTGATCAGTTTTGTGGTTCCTAATCAGAAAAAGTTAACACTTTTGGCACAACAGAAGGGGGTAGAAGGAACTTGGGTTGATATCTGCAATAACCCTGCCATGGAAGCTGAAATACTGAAAGAAATTCGAGAAGCCGCAAATGCCAGTAAGAAATTGCTAGTTTGTTGAAGCTCATAAAAATCATCTAATAATGTCATATGCATTAGACTCTTGTTTAGTAATGAAATACATAACTCTTAAATATTTATCTACCTCTTAAGTATATGTAATGAATTCCCATGTTGGAAAGATTCTTAAAAGTCATGTAGTAGAATAACCTATCTAGTTGTTTATTGCATATTGTAACATCCCTATAAAGTAGTTATCTAGCCTGTGTTTGGAATAGTCCATCTTTGAAGAGATGTGTTATATAGGTGTATCTTATATCTGCAAGCTAGAAGCTAATAACTCTTTAGTAGATAATGTAGCTATGACTATGATTTGTGTATGTTCTTTGGCTCTGTAAATGGACTGTGTTAGATGGTATATTGGTAACCAATTGGAGAACATCTGAATGGGTACTTTGTGCCAGGTGTGTATTAGGTACTAGGAATATAAAAGTTAATAAGATACATTTCTTTCTTTTTTTTTTTTTTTTTTTGCGGGGGTGGGAGGGAGTGGTTACCATGGATTGAACTCAGGGGCACTCAACCACTGAGCCACATCCCCAGCCTTATTTTGTATTTCATTTAGAGACAGGGTCTCAATGAGCTGTTTAGCACCTTGCAGTTGCTGAGGCTGGCTTTGAACTCATGGTCCTCCTGGCTCAGCCTCCCAAGCCACTGGGATTACAGGCATTCAGCACCAACATCTGGCAAGATACATTTCTTACTCTTCTGGAGCTCATTATCCAGTGAGAGGACACAAGAGAGATAGCCATCTTAATAACAATAGAGATAGGAACAGAGAATCATGGTACCAGAGATGAGGGTACTTAATCTTACCTGGGAGTTCATGGAAGGTTTTCTTATAGAACTGTCACTAAAGTTCATTCTTAAGGATTAATTAGAATTAACTAGGGTAGGAATTCTAAGCCAAAGAGAATTAGGAATAAAAGCACAGAGGTAGAAAAAAGGAGATGTGGGCAGGGAACAACAAGGTCTTTGGTGTTACTGGAAAAGTACAAGATGAGGTTGTAAAGATAAGCAGAGGCCAAGACCTGTAGTGCTTTGTATGCCATTTTCTGATATTTGTGTTTAATACTGTAAGCAGTGGGGAGCCATTGTGAGGTTTAATCAGACTAGTGATTTGGTCAGATTTGCATTTCTGACAGATGCATTCAGTGTGGAGGCCAGCCTGAAGATATTATTTGAGGGGGGTCCAGACTGAGACAGAGACTAATTTAACTAAGAAAGCTGTAGTAAATATTTAAATGAGAGTGGGAATGATAATGCCCTGAACCAGGAAATCAGGAAAGGTTTAGAAAGCAAAATTGGCAAGCTTTGATGATTGCTTGAATAAAAAAGGCAAGTGAGAAGGGGTCTAGAATGGCCCCTAGATATGTAGCTCAAATGACAAGGTTGATATAATTATTGATTGAATTAAAAAATACAGGAGGGAAAGCCAGCTTATAAGAGAAGATTCTGAGGTCATATTGGGACATACATAATTGGAAATGCCTGTTGGATAATCAGAGTTAACATTCCCAACAGGAGATTGTGTATGTTCATCCAAACCTTATGAGAGAGGCCTTTGTTGTACTATCAACTTGAGAATAATTGAAATCATGAAGGTAGATGCACTAACCTTGGAAGAGACTTTAAAATGAAAACAGGAGGCTGAGGACAGGTCCCTGGACAACACCAGCATTTAAGGAATGGATGGAAGAAGAGCTTGTATAGATGGTGTGCTGGACAAGATACCAGGAGAACAGAAGGTACAGAGCCACTGCTGACAGAACTTCAGGAAAGAGATTGGTCTCCAGTTTCAAATCAGCAGCATGGTCTGCTTACTAGAACTTACTAGAACATTGACTGGGAAATTAAATAGATTAAAAATTAATTGTCGGGCTGGGGATGTGGCTCAAGTGGTAGCGCGCTCACCTGGCATGCATGAGGCACTGGATTCAATCCTCAGCACCACATACAAATAAAATAAAGATGTTGTGTGCCGCAGTCTGGCTGGGCACAATCAGGAGCCACTTGTCAAAAGAAACTAACTTTATTTTTAGAACCACACACGACAAACAAAATAGTCTCTCAGGAAAAACCCTCAGAGCCTCAACTGCCACCACCGGCTTTCCACAAGCCTCTCTCTCCCACACAAGCTTCTGTCCACCTCCCACAATCCTCCTGCTCTTGAGGCCGATTGGCTGGGTCACGTGGGCGGAGCCAAAAAAGTCCCCCAATGAGCAGCTCCGTGGTCTGAAAGGGCAGGGAAACAGTCCAATGAGCATCACCGCAGAGGAGCCAATCAGCTAGATGTTGCTGGGGCCGAGGAGCCAATCAGCTAGATGTTGCTGGGGCTGCTGTGAGCCAATCATCAGCCAGCAGCTGGAAGTTTGCTGGCAGCTGGAAGTTTGCTGGGGCCCCTTTGGCTGTGGCTCTCAACATCTCCCCCTCTCTGTTTAAACAACAAGCATGTGGCTTAGGGACCGTGCCTGTTAGGCAGTCCAGTTCAACATATGGTCCTTACCCGTCATCGGATGAACTGACCTCTAGGCGTCAGCCTCCTGTCTTAGGTTGGTACCACTGCAATTGGATCATACCCGTCACTGACTACGGGTCCAGCATACAGCCATACTTGTGGATAGGCCTTTGCACCTGTGGGGGGGTGAGGTTCTTTGCCTCACCTCTGTTGGCCCCCAAATTTTAGACCATCACTAGTAGAGGAGGATGCAAAATGCCATGACATTAAGCCAATTGAGGGCTCCTAAATTGTACCACCGGTGACACCATCAGCAAAAATACTCCAGCACTACCACAATTCGCTGTACCAACAGATAGTTCACAATGCATACAGGTGAGCTCACAATGTGTCCAGGCAAGTTCTGCAAGCAGTTCAGTGATGGCTATTGTAGAAGCTGTAGATTGGTTTTATCTTTCACTTCACCAGCACTGGGATGAAGATAGGAATTCTGGCAATAATGGCTAAAGAAAAAATTATGTAACATTCCAGAAGGCACTAAAAGAAAACAATTTTCTTAACAATTTACATTGTCTTCACCGGCACTGGGATGAAGATAGGAATTCTGGCAATAATGGCTAAAGAAAAAATTATGTAACATTACAGAAGGCACTAAAAGAAAACAATTTTCTTAACAATTTACATTATCTTTAAGAGAATTATTAAATATAATGAAAAGGAAAGGTGAAAGTAAACAAACAGATCTGTTAACCTTCTTTTTTGTTTACATATTAAAACAATCCTCAACAGTTGTTTACCCAATTTAAATTAAACCATATAAATCACGTGAAAAAAAAATATTTGGATCCATTTTATCATGAGCGCTCATCATATATGATATATGGACATACGTACATTCAAACATATAACACAAAACACAAGTGTGCACACATAATATAATACATACAACACATAACATTATAGTAAAGGCCTTATAACTTTTTACAGGTGAAATCTCCATTGCAATGTTTAAAAACTCTATAGTCAAAAAATAGAACTGATCAGCAAAACATTAACCTAGGTCTGTATGAGCTCAAAAAACAAAATAGAACTTCATGGTATGGCAAAGGGCAATAATAAAATAGATATTGAAAAAAGCATCCTGGTTCTGTTGCAGATGTAAGAATAGCCAAACTGGAGTTTTGGATATCAGTTGTTATGGATTTGAGCCAAATCATCTTCTTTTTGGTCTGTAGAAATCGCTTTAGTTAATCTTTCTGGAATCCAAATCGGCTGCTGTTCTCCCTGTGGAAACACATAAACAGACCCCTGACTCCAGACAATCACTGGGTCAGGACCTTGGTTAATCTCTCTGGAATCCAAATCGGCTGCTGTTCTCCCTGTGAAAACACACAAACAGACCCCCAACTCCAGACAATTACTGGGTCAGGACCTTTCCATTGTCCTGTTAGAATATCCTTCCAAAGTACCTTGGGCTTATGTACATTTTTTGGACACATATGCCTTTCTGCAGCACTAAGTCCTGATGAATCCAAATTTAAAAAGTTTAGAGTAAAAAGGGTTATTTTAAGTTTATCTTTGGGGAATATATACCCCTTCCCAATTCCTTCTTTTTGCTTTAATAAGTACATTTTAATAGTTTGATGAGCTCTTTCAACTATGCCTTGTCCCTGTGGATTGTATGGGATTCCTGTTATATGAGTAATGCCAAATGTTGAGCAAAATTGTTTAAAAGAGGTAGAAGTATAACCAGGGGCATTATCTGTTTTTAACTGTTTTGGAACACCCACAGTGGTAAAATTTTGTAAGCAATGAGCTATAACATCTTTAGTTTTTTCTCCGGCATGAAGGGAGCCCATCAAAAATCCAGAAGAAGTATCAACTGTAACATGCAAATATTTTAATTTTCCAAGTTCTGGCAAGTGTGTGACATCCATCTGCCAAATATGGTTAGGTATCAATCCTCTAGGATTGACTCCAAGATTAACTTGTGGTAAAAAGGTCACACAATTTTGACATTGTTTTATTATTTGTCTAGCTTGTTCCTTAGTTATTTTAAAACGCTTTTGTAAAGTATTAGCATTGACATGGAACTTTTTATGAAAATTTATAGCTTCTTCTAGTGTAGAAAAAATATGTATGTCATGTGTTGTTTTATCTGCTAAATCATTGCCCAAACTAAGGGCTCCAGGCAATCCTGTATGTGCCCTGATATGTCCTATAAAGAATGGATCTTTTCTGTCCCAGATTAGACTTTGTATAGTGGAAAGCAAAGAGAAAACAGTAGAAGAAGGGGAAATCCTACCAGCATCTTCAAGAGATACTATAGCATTAACTACATACTGACTATCAGAAAATAAATTAAATACAGAATCTTTAAACATCACAAAAGCTTGTAAAACTGCATTAAGCTCTACCTTTTGAGCTGATTGTTTGGGTACTAAAAATGTAAAAGTTTGATCAGGGGTAACGACTGCTGCTGTACCATTATTTGACCCATCAGTGAATATATTTGGAGCA